TAGGGAAATCGTTATTTTTGAAAAGTTGTTTCTTCATCCGCACCAGCAGTCCATCGTTAACACCCGTGCTCTGCTCGTTTTCCCCTAAGGGAGCTGTCTTTTGGGCGTGGATCTACAGCACCCGTAGGAGGTGGGGTTTTCCCTGCCATCAGCACCAGAGAGCCCTGGGACGGCAAGGACGGCGAGGTGAGTCCCGGGACCGAGCTGTGTGCGAACAGGACTCGCTGTCGGGGCTTTGGTCCAGCCCCTTACTTTCCCGATCCCTGTGCATCTTTGCTACTTGTAAACAAGACCTTTCCATCAGACCAAAGCCTTGCCGAACAATCAACCTCATGGGCCTTTCGGGGTGTCTTTGTCTCGAGACCCTTCATTCCATCCTCTGTATTACAAAGTGCTACATGGCATAGGATATTTGCGACAGAGGCACCGAGATAAATTTCAGTGAGGTTGCTTTCCTATAACCTGTAAAGTGAACATTTAAGCTAGAATTGATTAACTTTGAGAGAAGTACAAAATTATAGCCTTGAAATTAGCATTTATTCCGGTACACTTCTGCCCACCCCCCTCCAAAGGACCAGTTAAATAGCTGTTAGTTTTCTATCTATATAATAATAGGCAAACTTAAAAGCAGGAGCTGGACTGGGGAGAAACTTGTGACCAGAGCACCTCTGGAAATTTAGTGCTCTGTAAAATGAGATGTCAGACTTTCAGGGTCGCCCTGTCTGTGGTTCTGCATAGACCCTGCAGGGCCTGATGGTGGTTCTCTGTTTTACAGCTTCCCGTGGAAGACGACATTGACCTGAGTGACGTGGAGCTCGATGACCTGGAGAAAGATGAGTTATGAGAGGTGCCGTACAGACTCCAGTTTTCTTTTCTTGGGAGCGGATTTTCCAGCAGTGAAGAAGGAACATTCTTTCCAATCAGATGAATCTACCAGTGGCCTTTTTAACCAAGAAGTAACACTGATTGGTCATTTGAAAACACTGCAACAGTGAACTTCTGCGTCTCAAGAAAACAATGAAAAATTCTGTGAATTGTCATAGCCGGTGAATTGGGTTGTATTCTGTCAAATAATATTTTGAAGAAAACTGATGGGCTGTTGAAGCGTTTTTCCCTCCCTCTGACTGCTGCTTGAATGTTCTTGGAGGCCGTTTCTTACATACAAGTTTTTTAATGTGATCCTTTCCTTTGAATATTAATGGCTTTTTTCCATTAAAGAATAAAACGATTTTGGACAATGCCAATAAATGTATGAAATTAGTGTCCACATCGTAAATTCAGTAAATTAGTATTATGAAGGGATGACCTTGATGTCTCTCCTCCCTGTAAACCTGTGGTTCACATGACAGCATCTGGATGCCTGCCACCACACAAATTTTACACGTGTCCTGCAAGGCTGAGTTTCAACTGTAGGTGTGAAATGTAAAGCGAGCTTATATAGAAGGATGAAAAACAATGGTTTGTCAAGTGAGAACTGCATTCCACCCCCACTGTTTTGTCTTTGGGCCATCACCAGCGACTACTAGGGTATACAGCTGGTTATACAGTTAGCCCAAGGTTTTCAATACGCTATTATTAAACCCTCACAAAATGTCCATTAAGACATGAAATAAGCGGCAGGTTAGCAATTTATAGGAAGTCCCCATTTATGTAAAACATTCAGAAAAGTGAAGTTTTGAATTATGTTAGAATGTAAATGAAGAGACAATTCAAAGGATTGAGAACATTTCTTTATTGTAACTTAAAAAAATAAATACAACTGTAACTAAATTTTGTGAGCAATATTTCTCTAAAAATTTAAATTCTGTAGGATACTTAAACTCTTCTCTGGCTAAAGGAAAGAAGCGTCTGTGGTAATTTGCACAAATATGCAAGGTTAGCGGTGCCGGCTCATCTTTCTAGTCAAGAAGACCAAGGTCGATGTGGAAATAGACATAAGGAAAGTAGTCTTGGTTGCTGAGTTGCAATCCAGGGATCTCCACGGATGCCTGCAAAAGACACGGATGGTCACCTTCTAAGTGCATAAACTCGTTTCTTGTTTTACTTTTCTGTTTGAGGAAAGCTCTCTAGGCATTGACTGTATTTTCTGCCCCACAGTCCGCCCCCTACCCCAAGCACACACACAGCCTCTTGTTAAACTTCCACATTTGTGAAGTGTAGATTTTCCTAACAGTCTGGCAGGTACCACTTTGGGAAAGCACCTCCCGTGTGGAGAGGCTGACCTTACTGTAGAAAGGCAGCTCTTTCTGGATAAAATGTACCTACATCCAATATACTTGCGGCTGCAACTTCATCCAGGTGTCTGAAGACGGAGTTGAGAACCTCTCTTAAGCGTTTGGTGGATGACTTCTTTTGAGGCTGGAGTAGAAGCGCCTGGAAGTTCACTGGCAATCCGTACCTGTTCAAAGCGCAGAGTGGTTACTGCAGACGCGGGCCGGATGGACCTGACACTGCAGCCAGAGTGAAAAACGAGGCAACATAGCTCAGGAAGAGGAAACTCGAGTGGAATGTCTGGGGTCAGAAGGGAGACATTGCTAGATCTTCGTGCATGGAAAAATCTCTAGAATATGCTCACCCACTTCTGATAGTGACAGTTTTTTGACTCTATAGAGCCATCAGATGGTGAGGGGCCAAGCTGAATGGAGGAGGCGGAGGAGGCTGTTGGACTAAATATTCTGACTCCAAAGCCTTTGTCTAAAACCCAGCTTAGCTGACACACTTTTCCCCACTGAAAAAACCAGCACACGCACACACACGCAAATCTGGTTTATCGAGATTGTGAATTCCTTTTGCTGAGTTTTGGGTGGACAGAAAGGACTTTATATGGACTTTGTATGCATGAGTACCTTTGAAACCACTTGCCGGAAGCTATTCCTGTGGTGGTATCTCAAAACACTTAAAATATTTACACTGAGTACTACATAAACAGTAAAATGCATTTTGTGATTCTCGGTGTTTTTAAAATACATATATATACTACCAGTGAGCAAATGCTTGGATGTTTGATACTTATCACCCGTGCATCTTCGTGCCGGAGCCCAGCATGCGAAAGCTGGCCTTAAGATGCCCTTTTACTGCCTGACCTGTTAGTGTTACTTAGTTTTAATTTCACAGTCAATGCCCATAAACCAGCCCCTGGCTCTCCCGTCCTCATTTCTGGCTGCTAATGGTGCAAAGTGTTCACTAAAGTCCTGAGGTCTCCTGGTGGATCTGCAGAAAGGCGAAGTAAATATGTGAAAGGGCCACTTGTAATTGCTTCACTGTAACCAAGCATAAGACGCACCTAATCCCGTTGCCTTAGAACACTGGGTGAGTGGGGCCCCGCCAAACCCAAGAGGTGAGGGCCACAGAGGCCGGCAGAGGCTGGCAGGGATGGCGGGGGCACCTGGGCTAGATCGTGGGTGAGAGGATGGCCCAGCTGACCGCCCTCATTCCTTCTTTGTTCCTTGTCACCAAAGCTCCGGTCACCCAGATGACACTGAGGACAGGGTCGTAGCTCTCCAGCCCCTATTACCCGGACGCGTAGTTGCCCTCGCCCTGCCCTCCCTCCTGAACTTCCTGCCCGAGCTCCCAGTGCCCTGGAAACCCACCCCACACCCTCGACCTCACCAGCGCAGCTCTACCCGCTTACTCCAGGGAAGTCTGCAGCCTTCTCAAAGGGCGACGGCCACCAATCTCACAGCCCAGGCAACATGTATGCCAGGAGATGGCATTCCAGCTCCCAGATGCAGTTGCTAGACCATCACTCTGCTACCCGGACACAGAACCTGCCTCTGCCACCCTCCAATCCGGTCATCCCCCCGCATTCATCAGCCGGTTGCTCTGGAAGATTATCCTCCTGAACAAGGACCCCGTCTTTTGAGCTCGCCTCCCCTGACCAACCTGTGAGCTCCTTGCAGGCAGCGGTCCGCATCCGTCTTGTTCACTCACGGCTCCCCAGTGCATGGCGGATAACAGGCACCCCATCAGCACTGGCTGAACGAATGTTCCTCGCCCCTCATCCAGCCTCCACGCCCTGCACCCCTTTCTCAGCCCACTCCCCTCTTGGTTTCACGGTTTGCACATTCTTCCAGATCCTTCCAGTCCTTTCCCTGCCAGCCCTCCCTCCAGGTCAGTTTAGTGAACACCTCCCCATCCTGCTCAGAACCTGCTTTCCAGGAACGGCGGGTTGTGGGGCGGGGTAGCCACTCCTTCCTCCTCCAGGCCGCCCCGCTGCTGCCCCCTCCTGGACACCTCAGTAGAGGAGCCTCCTTCCCCTAAGGGCCCCCTGGCGGGGAGCCCTCCACCTGCACCCTCCGTGCTGAGAATACTGCAGCCGCCACCCTTCCCTTTAACATGGCACCATTGCAGCTCTATTTACAACAGCCAGGACATGGAAGCAACCTAAGTGTCCATCAACAAATGAATAGATAAAGAAGATGCAGCACACATATACAATGGAGTATTATTCAGCCATAAAAAGAAACGAAATTGAGTTATTTGTAGTGAGGTGGATGGACCTAGAGTCTGTCCTACAGAGTGAAGTAAGTCAGAAAGAGAAAAACTAATACCGTATGCTAACACATATATGGAATCTAAAAAAAAAAAAAAAAAGTGGTTATGAAGAACCTCGGGGCAGGACAGGAATAAAGACACAGATGTAGAGAATGGATTTGAGGACACGGGGTGGTGGGAAGGGTAAGCTGGGATGAAGTGAGAGAGTGGCATGGACATATATACACTACCACATGTAAAACAGCTAGCTAGTGGGAAGCAGCCGCATAGCACAGGGAGATCAGCTCGGTGCTTTGTGACCACCTACAGGGGCGGGATAGGGAGGGTGGGAGACGCAAGAGGGAGGAGATATGGGGACATATGTATGGCTGATTCACTTTGTTATACAGCAGAAACTAACACACCATCGTAAAGCAATTATACTCCAATAAAGATGTTAAAAAAAATTCTACATGTCCAGAACTAAAAACAAAAAACAAACAAAAAAACCCCATGGCACCATCATGCCCTGTTTAAAATAAAAATTGCCTCAACTCCCTCCCGCTCTCACCCCACATCCAAGAGCACCCAGTGTCCTATGTCACCCAAGCATCCTTCAGCCACTACACTCGAGCTGCCCACACCAATGAACTACCAGCGGCCCCATCCCAGAGATAGCTAAAGCCTTAACCTTCTGTTCCCTGACTCACCCATCTCTCCCTCCTCCGGCCTCTGACATCACACAGGCTTCTTTGCTTCCACTCCTTAAATGCTGGTACATTCCCTCTAAGCGACTCTCTGTAGGTGAACCCATCCACACACATGAATCACCCTTGGTGCTTCCCTAATATCCATTCCCCACTAGACCTCTCCCAAGATCCAGACTAATGACCCAGCTACCGGCTTCTCCAGTCTCGCCATGGTCCTACCACTCTCCCAGGGCCCGTTTCCATTCTCACCTTGGGTGATTTAAGCCCCTGATACACTTCACCCTGAAAATGAACCAGCACTTCCTCAGCTGAGGGCTGGTCCGCTTCTCTTTGATTTGATTCAGGCCACAAACATGGGGCACCTCCTCTTTGTCTGACTCTGGGCTGGGTGACAGGCAGAGAGGAAAAGTCACCCCAGCCCTCCCCTCCAGCTCTCAGGGTAGGGAAAAAGGACAGAACCAGCTCTGAGGAAAGACACAGCAACAACTGCGAACCGGGAGAGAAGACCTGTGCGAGGTCGGAGGGTCAAGAAACAGGCGAACCTTACCCGTCTGCTCTAATCAGCTTGTTGGTTTAACATCTGTTTTCTTAGCTTATGCTCTCTCCATACGATGGAATATGAAAAAGCCATTAAGGAGGAGCGATTATCTCTATGCATACTGATAAGACTATAATGCAAAGCAGATGAAAAAAGCAAGTTGCAGAACGTTAAGTATAAATGATGACATTTGGGGGATGAGAAGAGTCTTGAAACCATTAACTGGGATGATCTATGGGCAGTGGGGCTGCGAGGAACTTACTTTCCACAGTACATATTTCTGAACTTGAATTTTTTTTTTTTACAGTGTTCATGTATTACCACTATTCAGGAGAAATAAAAAGTATACAGTTTTTGAAAATGTCATACATTGATAGTTTTGAAAGGAATTATTTTTGCATATACTCAGTTTTACCGAGCTTAAACAAGATACTAGGGACGTCCCTCTCGACCTCTCACTTGAGCAAAATGGGCATCCTGTAAGGATGGGCAGGCTTTGCCACACTGGGCCTGAGAACCCCTA